TATTATTAGATCCCACAAAAGACAAGGCCTTGGTAGATATATAATTAGATCCACAAAGAGACATAAGCATCTAAACACTATTTTAGGCATCCAGATGCAATAACCATGTGCCAGCAAACCCCTGGACTTCTGCTTACATTTCCGCTCATCCACATGAGTAGAGCACCAAACAGCACCGAAAACCGAGTGAGGTATGCAAACTAGACATTGCTTCATATATCACTCTTGCAAGACCAGGTCCAGTGGGCACTCCCAGAGCATACCTAATCTTCACAAAGACAGCCAGAAACTAATAATCTGTCTGATCATTCCTTTAGACTGTGGGAGCTCCAGGCTTAAATCTGTTACCTGCCTAAACTCGAGTAGGGATCCTGGTCATTGCTTTCCCAAGTAATATTCTTTTGGGATGAACCTATGGAAGACTTCCTTATGGAAACTCAGTATAAATATACACTGGAGTAGGGAATGGACTGTAGGTCTCCCAGATAAGTTTCCTAACCAACACTCTATAGAGCCATAATCAGTCTCTCTCTCTCTGGCCCAGGAGATAGTAAGAAAAATTCAACCCAGAAAACACATATCTTTGAACTTCAGGCATTCATATTTGCAAGGTGCCAGACCCCTGTTTCATATCTGGCAGGGGTGGAATTTGAACCTGGATCTTTAATAGCCTATCTCAGTGATCTAACTACTTGCTGTTAGCACTTGCTTTTCCCCAATTTCTTGTGAGACAGAGCTGACTTCAGCTAGGTCTAACTCCAAGAGAGACTTCACTGTTGTAATCCCAAGTGGAAGGAGACACCTTCCATGAGCAGTTAGGTGCCCAGCTCCTTAAATGTAGCCACCTAACACTCCTAGGTGCCTAAAAGGTAGACCTGTTGATACTTAGATCCAATTACAGTGGGAGCCCATGATTCTTGCTCTGCAGAATTGTATCAGACATACAGAAAACAATTGTGGGTAACATACAGAAGGGTGAGAGCAAGCATGAGGGTCATAACAATATAGCTCCATATTTTCTGTCTGGACATGCCAAAATCAGGGTTCCATAGATTTTAAAGCCAGAATGGACTATCTGAGCTCCTGGGGAAAAAAGCCAAAGAATACCACCCACTTAGCCCTGATAACTGTATTTAATTGAAGCATATTTTCCTGCTTTGATTTGAAGTCAACTGAAGTCCACAACCTGTGGTAGTTTGTTCCAGACATTTATCACCCTCAAAATAAGAATATTTTTTTTTTCCTATTTGAATGACTCTGGTTTTAATTGCGTATACCTTTTACTGCTAAGGTAAATAGCCCTTTACTATGCAGTGTTATCTCATCATGAAGGTATGCTGATATCATAGATCAAGTCACCTCTTGATCATCTTTTTGAGAAGATGAACAGGCTGAAATCTTTAATAAATTACTGTAGCTACTATTAGTGGATATCCTTCTTTTACAGTGGATGGCCAATAGCCATGACTAAATAAAAGTTCTGACCAATAACAGACCGTAAAAAATAGGTAATAATATGACTTCATATTACACTGCTAGTATAGGCAGAAACTGCACTGCATTCTAAATGGTTGTAGCTGCTAAGTCCTGTGGCGAATATACTGAACCTCAGAATGTCAGAAATTAAGTATAGATTAATATATTAATACTTTACAAACAGATCAATTATGAGGAACCTGTGTTCATGTCATACTAGTTATGCAGCAAGCAGCATTAGTAATGAACGTGGGTCGTCAGTGTGACGACGTCATCAGCAAAGCTAACGGCACTTTATTGTGCATCAGCAGATGCATGACAAACAGAAGCAAGGAGGTGATACTTCCACTCTATCGGGCACTGGTTAGACCGCAGCTGGAATACTGCATCCAGTTTTAGGCGCCACACTTTAAGAGGAATGTGGATAACCTGGAGAGGGTCCAGAGAAGGGCCACTCATACGGTTAAGGACTTGCAGGCCAAGGCCTATGAGGAGAGACTAGGGCACCTGGACCTCTTCAGCCTCTGAAAGAGAAGGTTGAGAGGCAACCTTGTGGCTACCTATAAATTCATCATGGGGGCGCAGTAGGCTCTACTCACCAAGGTGCCCCTGGGGGTTACAAGAAAAAATGGCCATAATCTAACAGAGAGCAGATTTAGACTGGACACTAGGAAGAACTTCTTCACAGTCAGAGTGACCAAAATCTGGAATGAGCTCCCAAGGGAGGTGGTGCTCTCCCCTACCCTGGGGGTGTTCAAGAGGAGGTTAGATAGGCATCTGGCTGGGGTCATCTGAACCCAGCACTCTTTCCTGCCTATACAGGGGATCAGACTCGATGATCTATTGAGGTCCCTTCGGACCCTAACATCTATGAATCTATAATGAAGGTGATGATTAAAATAAATCAGTTCTTTGGAAATGGTCCTTCACTCCTTATACAACTACAGCTTATTAGCTGTATAGCTCCCAAAAGTGTGTAGGTGTTTAACACACACCACAAATACAGATCCCTTTCACAAAGTACTTGTCCTCTAAATGGATAATATGCAGATGCAGGAGGTACAGATTCCAGAATGAGATGGAATATGGTATATTTTGCTTTTTTTCTATTAAGTGTAGTAATTTCTGCTTGTTGGCATATTGAATTGAACAGAATTTTGCATCCACAGTGAATGTGCTTGACCCAGGAAGAGTATACTGTTACTGTACTTTGTAGCATGTTATTTACTGATACACACACACACACACACACCACTGTCTTCTATAATATTTAAAAATATATTTCTACCCTTAGGAGAATTTTCTGTAACTTGTCAAATGTGTATTTGTAGAACTGCTTAAACTTGAGCAAGGGTATTTGATTGCCTGAAACTTGTCCAACAGCTCTCCCAACTAGACAGTACGTCCAATAGACAAATATTTTTTCTCATATTTTTATCTGTAGAACTCCTGTTTCTTACAATATTAATTATAAATGCAAGAATATGCTCTACTCTTTAATGGCTCTGCAAACTCATCTAAGCATACAATGTCTCTCTCCCATAAATTCCTTTATTAACCATACAAGAAAGTGATGGTGGTCTCTGCTGAAAAATAATTTGTCATATGTTTATAATTTGCACAAGAAGTCAAAAGCTGATTTGAGTGTGTCCAGGCCACTGTTGGTGCCTGCCACTTTAAGGACAGAGCCAAATAGCCAGCAGGTGTTTGATTACGGTGGCCGCCTTAGAATTCTGGCCGCCTATATACACAGAGCAGTTTACTGCTGGCAGGCCAGGCAGAAACATCGCCTGGCTGAAAGGCTGTATGAAACATCTTGAAAGTAAGGGCAGGAGCTTAAGGGGACAGTTCGAAGGCTCCTGGTCCTGGGCATGACCTAAAACTGCACCCTTCCAGGAAGGGGTGGCCTGGTGGGGCTCCCAGTGGCACAGGAGCCCCCAGAAAATACCAGGCCAGTTTTCACCGAAGTGAAAGGTGAGTCAAGGTGCTTTAACCCCTAGCCCCCACAACATTGTGGGTACAAGGGGGCCAGGCACAGCTATGAATATCTGAGCCCCCACCAGGGAGGGAAGCCCCACAGCCCCAGTGGGAGGGGGTAGAGATGAGGGGCCCCGGTGGGAAGGGAAACCAAAGGGCTGGGAGCCCAGTGTATATGTGTGTGAGTTTGTATAGAGTTGCCCTGGGAGGGGCCAAGGCAAGCTTGGCTCTGGTCAGGTAATTGGCTGGCCACTACCCCAGTGAATGTCACAGCAGTGACCCAAAAGACGGTACATTTGCCACCTGAGGTGTGCTCTATGTAAAGCCTGTAGCCAAAGGGGCCCGGTCTGAGAGGGAGCAAGGCAGTACAAGTTGTCAATGTGTAAAACAGACCCTGTGAAAGGGGGTGGAGTGTGAGAGGCCCTAGTGAGAGGATGGCAGTATGAATGAGTGTGTGGCTGAGGCCTGACAATGAGGGCTAAGCTTGGTCCGACTGTAGGTCGGGAGCATTATGTTACCTAGATGCCATCTACAAAGCTTGGGCTGTGGTGTAGGGGAGGAACGGAGTCACAAATAGTGCCCCCCCCCCGACATCAGGGCAAGAATGAGCAGCCCCCTGCCTAATTAACACCATGATTATGCATCATCAAGGTGTGGCAGGCAAGGAGGCAGGTGGCTGGCCCAGAAACAGGTGGGCAGGCCAATGGCAGACCGGCCCCAGGAAATCCCTGTGTTGCATTAAGTTTCACATGATGGGAAGGAAAGGAAAGGAAACTTATAGAATCCCCACATAGTAAAACTGTGCTATATGTAACCAAATGTCTCTACTCTGTTGTTTAAAATATGAGCATGCTTCACTAAAATAAGAGGGGGGATCTTTTGCTGTGAATCTCTTGGTTTAGCTCTTTCTTGATATGTCAGCATAAATAAAGCAGCATGATACTAAACAAACTCTAGACACCCAACTATTTACTCAGCAGCACAGTAGGGTTATGTAGCCCACTCTGAGCTTTGTGCAACCATGGCTACCTTGCCAATTACAGCTAACCTATCTAGTTTAAAGCTGCAGTCACTTCATGGTGTGTCGACTGATGGACCTTGTGAAGAGTCTGGTTGATGAGATTCAAATATTACAGGCTTTTTGAGGCATAATATTTTCCTAAAAGCTCTTCGGAACTTAACATGGCAGAGAGGGTAGAGAAAAGGGTTCACAGAGGAATTGAGCCACAAAAGCCAAGATGTAAACTCAAACAGAGGTTCACTGATACATTGTTTTCTGCAGGTTGCAGAAATAATCATAAGTAATGAATATGTTGCCCAGCATATAGCAAAGATATAAACAATTATAGCAAGTGACTTTGCAGCTTTTTTGTCCCTTTGCATTTTTGACCTCGTCCTTTTTTCTGAAACCTCTGAAATGAGCTTCCTTAGCTGTTTTGGAATGAACTTGAGATGCAACTGAACTGTCAAGTGTCACTGAATACATATATTCTACTGAAGCGGAAAAATTGTTTCCTGAAAATGAAGATCCCCATGATTGACTCTTGCTCTTTGAATTTTCAGAAAGCTGATGGGTGGGGCTTCACAGACACTTTTGTATATTCTGGAAGATATGAAAGTTGAAATAGGCAATGGAGATCAAAGATATGAAGAACTCAAAGACTGAAGCACACAGAGTAAAATACCAGTTGTAGATGAATTCAGGATAACATTCATCATCAGGTACAATGCTGCAGCCAGCCACATATTCCCAAATGATAATTGCTGGGCCATAGAGTAAGAATGCAAACACCCAAATTGCCCCCATCATAATAACAGTCTTGGAAGTCATTCTCTGTAGAATCCTGTAAGACACCTGAAATGGAATTGACCACATGTCATGCATTGAGAGAGATTTTTAGAACCAGTGTAAACAACCTGGTTTCATGACCCAATCCCAACTTCTCTTCCCCCAGCTCCTTGTCCCATGTGTCTCAGAAAAATCCTAAGTATATGCTGCCAACACAAAAGTTCTGTACCTGACATGCGCGGTTGAAGTCTGTGAGTGGAAAGTTCCAAGGCTCACCCAGCTCGTGCCCCCTGGGTGACCTGCAGACCTGTCAGTCATGTTTGACCTACCTTCCCCACAGACGCATGCTCAGCGACAGCTAAAGCATGAGGTAATTTGACTAGAAATTTCTTCCCTGTGAGTGTTCTGATTGGCCACTAAATTCAGATAAAAGTC